TGGAAGAAGCTCTGGCTCATGGCTTCAGATGGGTGCAACTCCAGCCATTGTGGCCAACTGGGGAGTGAACCAGCAGATGGAAGACATCTCTCTCTCTCTCCTCTCTCCTCTCTCCATCTCTCTGTGTACTCTTTCAAATCTTTTTTTTAAAAAAAAGATATAAAATCAAGAAAACTGTTTTGGGTACTATAGACAAGCAGAATTAATTATACCAAACAAAGAACAATCTGTAGGTAACTGCATCTGAGCTGCGTCCCCCACCCCACCCCAAGTGACACTGACATCGTGTGTTTGGATAATGCTCTAGCCACTTGAGAGAACTGTGTGTGTTGTTTAAAATGTGAAACAAACTATTTTTGAGCCTGTAGAGAAGAATTCCTGAACGAAGAATATTTAAAATTTCATATTAGAAACAAACACATAGATGTATGTGCTGCATTCAGATTGGTAGATCTTGATGGCCTACACTGGATCTCATGAGCTCTAAAGTGTCTTCTCCATGATCCATCAGTTTGGACATGTCATTCGTTCCCTCACTTCCCAACTAGAGCACCCTGCTGCTTCCTTGACTTGTAACTGCTCATATCCAGTGATAGCCTGGAGTTGCAGCCTAGTGGAACCAGCACTAGCTCTTTGAGTCAGACTTTCTTGGATCGTTACTTATACTTGCTGTTTGATCCCAAGTAAGTCATTTCATCTTTTGAAGCTCTGTCTCCTCTGTAATGACATCACAACTTCCTAACGAAGAGGGCTATTTCCAGGATTAAGAATATATGTAGGGGCCGGCGTCATGGCTCACTTGGTTAATCCTCCACCGGCGGCACCAGCATCCCATACGGGTGCCGGATTCTGTCCTGGTTGCTCCTCTTCCAGTCCAGCTCTCTGCTGTGGCCCGGGAGTGTAGTGGAGGATGGCCCAAGTGCTTGGGCCCCTGCACCCACATGGGAGACCAGGAAGAAGCACCTGGCTCCTGGCTTTGGATCAGTGCAGTGCCAGCCATGGCGGCCATTTGGGGGGTGAACCAATAGAAGGAAGACCTCTCTCTCTCTCTCTCACTCACTGTCTAACTCTGCCTGTCAAAAAAAAAAAAAGAAAGAATATATGTAAAAGCACATGGGCAGCACTCAACAAAGGGTATCCTTTTCAAAATTAAGTCAGTATAATAAAGTACCTGCCTTTATAGACAATTCTAAGTTTCCGTGTCTCCAGGAAGGAAAAAGGATAAGTATTTTCTTCATGCTTCTAGACACTCCCTCCTTCAATGAGCTATTCTAATACTGTGGCCAATTTTATGATTTATACATGTAGGGCTTTTGCCAGTGATTGTATAATGCAAGTTCATATTATTTGGGCAGTTAAGTTATTGTCTAGAAAACCATGTAATTAAATTTTCCTAATGCAGCTTATTTAAAGTATATTAAATTTTTAATCTTAAATCATGGAGTTATTTTGTGAAGTACCTTAAATCTCTGGTTGGTCTTATCATATATTCTTATATGTATATTTATATGTAAGGATAAAATTTCTCAATATTAACATACCAAACTCATTAGACTATTATAGCCATAATGTTGTTTCGTGCTGTTTACCTGAAAGAATTAAAGGTGTAGCGATGGAAGGTAGCGCAGGTAGTACTTCTAACAATTTTTCTGGTCAAAGAAGTTAGGAAGGAGAAGTAGGTCCTCAGGCTGATTTTGGCATGTATACAGTAGGCTGTTCTCTCTGAATATAGAGGGGAGTCTTCAAAAGGTATGTGGAAAATGTGTCATCTTTTGATTCCATTTTTCCATAAACTTTTTGAAGGACCCCATACAAGTGATTCCAGAATCAGCAAACCTATGACTCCACTGGCTACTGGAGGGAGACACACAAGCTCCATTAAGATGCTCCTGCTCATGTACTCTTCTTGATTCTTGATTACTTTACAATTCTTTAAGTAATAACCTTTAAGAATTTTTATTGTTTTTTTTTTCCTATCTGTTTAAACTCTGGAGGGCAAGCTAGATCCCAAAGTCATTAAAAAAATGATTACTAACTTTGGAAGACAAATATCTTTCTTAGATTCTTAGCAATATTAGATTCTCTCTTCCTTAGATTTGGAACAAGTGCTTAAAAGAGCTATTTGAGTTTGTTCTTGGATTTCTTCTCCTGCATAGCTTAATGCTTAAGCCCCAGCCTTGCTTTGGTGACTTTTAAACAAGACAGCAGCCTGATTTTTTTTTACCAAGTTGTGTCTGAGGAAGAAATGTGTAAAGTGATTATTTTCTTATCCAGTTCCTTGATAGTACTTTACCACACCCAGGTCCAATAAAATATTGATGGAATGGTTGCTCATGATCCAGTAAGTCAAACTGTAAAAAGCTTTTACAAAGTAACTGTATTTAGAAAGACAACTCAATAGGTTAGAGGGGGCAGACTGCCATGCAAATATCCAATCACATTTTATTAAGTAAATTAAAAATAGATTTAATCTTTAATACGTGTCCCTACAGTATAAAATTTACTGGATTCAATTGTTGTTTATGTGCTCAGCAGATTGGCTAATTACCTTAGGCAGATGCGTCATGCACATTAATTTGGGTTCCTGTGTCAACACGTAACTCTCTGGCTCATAATCTAGCCTCCACTTAGTGCAGCTAAGTGAAAATAAGGATATTCACTTGAAATTAATTGCAGGAAATTCTGTAGGAAGGACAGTGTTGCATTCTGGAGAGATCCCTGATCCAGGGGGTGGGAGTCTGGATTCTAAAGTTCAGCAACCCCATGGACTTGAACCTGTCATTCACTTCTCATATCTGTGTGAAATACCATGTGAATCAGGGGAGCAGTTATTAGTTATTACCATGTTGGGACATAAAGGGAAACAGCTAGCTCCTAAAGCGCATTTTCAAAGGAGCCTCTCACAAACAATTGCTTAATAAAATGTTAACTTGATGGCTGAAAACATCTTAGGGAATTAGAACAACCGACAGTACCAAGTGTTGATGAGAATGTGGAGCAACTGGCATTCTCACAACAACAATGCTGGTAATATGAAATGGTACACCACTTTGAGAATAATTTAACTACTTTCTCAGAAATTCAAATCTGCATTCATAGTATGATCCAGCAATTTCACTCCTAGGTATTTACATAAAAGAAACAAAAACACTACTAGACACACAAAGCTGTATGTAGATGTCTGTAACAGCTTTACTCATCATGGCCCGATAATATCCCCAAACTGGAAACAATTAAATGCCCACCAGCCAATTAACAACATAAATGACATATGCAACTACTGTATAAAATTAGAATACAATTCAGTAACGAAATGGATAAATCTCAAAACAAGATGCCAAGTGAAGGAAGCCAGACACAAAGAGATCACATAATTTTGTGGCATCGCGCAAAGTGAGTCCCAGCGACAGAAAGCAGGGCAGTGGTCGCTTGCTACAGAGAACGTGGGCGCTGGACTGGGGCAGGGACTCACCGCAAAAAGGACGGGAATTCTGTGGAATTATAAGAACGAGAACGTTCTGTATTTCAGGTGTGGTGTTGGTGGTTTCACAGGGGCATGTATCTGACAAAACTCTCCAAGCTGTATAATTGAAATGGGTATATTTTATCATGTCTAAATTGTATCACAATGAAGTCGAATAAGAAAATGCATGCGCGCACACACACACACATTAGGAATGTAATATCAACTGTGAAGCTAAAACATGCCATGCTGTAGCTCTTAGATACTGACAATGTGCCTCTCAACGATCAGTGCCTGTTTTGTGGGCGACTCTCCCACTGAAGTTCACGTCTGATGTCCTTCTCCCAGGCTCACTCTCCCTCATAAAATCCCCTGTGTGTGGTGGGAGATACAAAGTCACTCTGTAAACCCAAAAGTGCCACATGTGGTCAGCAAGGGTGGCTGCCTCTGACATTCAGCAGAGGGTCCCATGGCAGCTCCATGGGAGGGCAACAGTCAATGGAGGGAGATCTCGCCCAGGCCTCCCAGTGGACCTGGAACTATATGCAGGCTCCCTCCCTTTCTTCTCCCTCATCTGTGCAGCTAAGCTCCTCTCACGCAGCAGCCCAGCGGTCCTTCTGTAATGAACAATTGGACAGAAAGACAGCCTTTCTCCATACACACAAAATTTCCAAAATTAAATGAATTCTTTGTGAAAATACAACTAAAAACTCGGGCCCCAGCATCAGACCTCTACGTCCAGAGCCCAGCCCCTCCACACCAACTGGATGAATCTATAAAACCTCTTGACCTCTCTGTGCCTCAGCTTCCTTATTTGTAAAGGAGGGGGCAAAATAGTACACAGGTCACAGACTGATGTGAGAATGAAATGAGACAGGACAAGAATGTCCTTAACACGGGGCTGGCACTGAGTAAGGAGCAACTGAGCCTACAAACATGACTGCATGTTTTTATTCTGACTCCCCAACTTCTGCCTTCATTTTCTCCAGGAAATCAGAGCATTTTGTCAACTCCATGGTGATCCACTCAGACTGCTGGGTCTGGGAGAGCAGAAAGTTCTCATATACTCTCAGCCTACACTGGAGCTTTCCCAAAAATACCAGTTACATAAAAGAAAGTGGTACGGCGAAGGCCACACCTTGAAGTTTCATATTCAATTCGATTGTGTTGTATTTCATCTATACAGACTTGAAAAAACCTGTCAAGCATGCTCTAATGGTATGAACAGGTGGAAAGAGTCCAGCCACATGCCACGGCTGAGAAATGTAGAAAATTGGGTGCTGTAGCAAGCCAAGTAAGGAATTAATAATATATTTAGAAAGACTAATAAAATGCCTGTCAAAGCCAAGTGGCAACATGTTAAATATTAAAAAAAAAATCCTGCTTGTATTTGTAGGTCATGGACTCTTCCTGAAGAGTATATATTCTTAGAAATAAAATGATTCAGCTGCAGATAAAACTTCGGTTCCCTGGCATGGTCTCCCACTTTTACATTCATTTGTGTATGTTTTCCATTCCCCTCCCCCGTCCCATGTAGCTCCACCAGCCCTCCCAGACGCCAGTGGGTCAAGCAGCCTCCCAAGGCAACCTTCTGCACCTGGCTCACAGCCAAGCATCCATGTCTCAAAGTCCCGTGCGGCAGGCTTCCTCTTCTTCCTCCTCATCTTCCTCTTCCTCAGCTTTGAGCGTGGGCCAGTTAGTCAGCAGTAAGTATCCTTTCTGGCTCGGTTTAAGTCGTGATGGCCTTCTTATTGCCTATTTGCAATGTATGTGTCTGTCTGTCTCTGTCTCTCTCTCTCTCTCTCCCTCCACCCCCACAGAGCAATTTTCTGGCACCACTAGGCCAGATGTATTGTGATGAAGTCCATGCCCTGGGCCAGATGGCTCCTCAGGGCAGCAGCCCCCTAAGCACACCCTGGCTTAATGCATGTTGGGGGCCAGCTCACATCCATTGCAAAGTGGCTCCTGGTGTTGCTGAGTCAGTCTGGCCACTTGAGAAGGTAGAAACTGATCAGCTTGCAGGGCATGAGCCACATAGCTCAGAACTGGAATAACCAACAACAGGCACTCAGCCAGCGGGTCAAGCTGATTTTCTGTGTGTTTGAAGTCCCCTGCCGTTCTATTTGTAGGTGTCAGAGGAAATAAAAGAGAGCGTGCCGGTGGGCGGGAGGGGATGTGTGCACAATGAGCCGCCTCCAGTGGCATGTGTGGGGAGCTGCAGGGACTCGAAGCAGATGGGAAATCTCTGCACAACCATTCATAAAATAAAATAAGCCTACAAGTTGCCTCCCGGAGCAGACCATCTATATAATTTATAGAAATGGTGTTTGGCCCTAGGTGAAGACAGTATATTCATCATATGCAAATTGAAGCATGTTAAGATGAATGGGACTTATTCACCTCAAATGCAACTTTTACTTACATGTTAAACCACAGAACATTTACATAGACTGTCATTCATCAGGAACCCAAAATCTGGCAGTTACGGGTTTAAAGGGCTAAAGCACCACACAGGCATCTGTGCCACAAAATGAAGATGCACGTGAGTCTGCGTATTTGAACCAACATCACGAATGACCTGTTACAGCAGAAACCATGGGGTCCTCAGATGGTGGTGCAGATCTGGTAGCTCAAAGCAAACTGGAGAGTTGCCATGTCCTCCCCCAAGAAGCAATCCCCCTAAACAGGAAAAAAATCACACACAGATACTTCAAAAGTTCATGGAAAATAGAAATAAGTTCATTTTGTTGCAAAAACAAAGTTTGAAATCCATGCTTAATTTTTACACAATACGCATTTTCCACAAATTTCCTGAAGATTCCTGGTGTATGTACAAGTATACAGATATTCAATTATATGAATAATTCAGGCAAGAAAGATGCCTGTGAGTATGGAAAAAGAATGGTATCAGACTATGAAAAGATGTCAAAATGCCAAGGTACTTCAGTGGAGCAGCCAGGATATTCTTGATCTTAAAGATGGGTCAACACCATAGTGTCAGAATACATATGAATTTCCTACCAACCCAATATTTTAGGTTGTTTAGATTTACAATCCCTCTCCATTTCAGCCAGAAACTTAAGTCTTACTCAAATAAAATCATGGATAAAATTAATTTGATTATAATCTGATTCTCTCAAATAAAGAAACCTCTTATAGGGGAGTTGTGGGAAAAGACTCAAACTTTACTCTTGCTCAGTATTCTGTATAAGTTTCTAGCAAATATTCTTTTTCTAAATGGCAGCAAGATCATAAATTTGGGATAGGCTGCTAAGATTTGGTCCTGAAAGACACCAAAGTCAAGCATCTTAAAGAGGAGAATTAAATTAAATGAGATAAAAATAAAAAACACTCTACTAATACATTATTTTACACCAGGTAAACAATTAGATGGATAGAGAGAAGGATGAATGGAAGGATAGAGAGCAGACGGATGGATGGATGAATTGGATTTTCTCTGGTTAGTTGTTACCAACTGGGTAGGGAAAAATTCACCTTTCTCAGAAATCAGTAACAGAGCTACTTCATGGGCCACAAGGAATTTCAATTGCACAACATATAACTTCTCAGCATATGATAAGCAAACCATATTACATATAATTGGTATAAAATATAAAGACCTTGAAGAGACAAACTCATTTTCTACATATACTTAAAGCAAGAAACGCCAAAGATATATGCAAGACCTGAAGGAGGACCCTATGCCAGCTCCATGGTCTTCCCAGGCAGGCATGAGAGTCTAGCAGTAGCACCAGGGGTCAGACTTTGCACAAATCCATTTCTGGCCTTGGAATTGCTACAGATCTTGAGCATATCAGTTTATCCCTTCTGCCTCAAAACCCAGCTATTGAATGAAAGTGTGATTCATGGATCATATTCCCCTGGTTTGATAATTGTTAATGAAAGGCCACAGAACTCAGGTACACACAGTGACCAGTTTATTATAAAGGATGTGATAAAGGATGCAAATGAACAGCCAGTTGAAGTACACAAAGTGAGGTATGGAAGGGTTTTGAGTGCAGGTACTCTGCTCCCATGGAGTTGAGGTGTACCGTTCCCTTGGTTTGTGGGTGTGTTCACCAGGCTTCATCATGTAGGCATGAGCAATTATTGACTCAATCTCCAGCCTCTCTTCCTCTCCTGGAGGATGCGGGGTGGGGAGTAAGAGGCTAAAAGTTCCAATCTTCTACTGATTGCTTAGTCTTTCCAATGACAAACCCTCATATTGAAAGTATCTGGGAGCCCACCAAGAGTCACCTCATTGGAACAAAAGATGTACACATCACTCAGGAGATTCCAAGGGATTTAGTGGCTGTATGTTACAAACCAGCACCAGTGACCAAATACTAGAACAAAGGATTTTCCTAACTTGCACATTACTTGATAAATTACAGGAGTTTTAGGAGCTCCATGCCAAAGATTCAGTGGCAAATATTACAAACGCATTTCTTATTATCTCAGACACTTTGGTCAAAACTATGGTGAGTCCTCCAAGTCATTGTCAAAGATGAACACCCTAGTGCTAGCCAACTTACCATATGTCAGATTAACTAGAGTATGCAGATCAGACGAACATGGTGCCTCCTCCAGGCAAAGAAATGCCTTAGAAATGGTGAAACAGAATTTTCATATGCAAAGAACACCACACGCAGGCTCAGCATCACCAAATACACACCTTGCTCTGGACTGTCTTGCTCCCATAGTTTTTATGGGCAAACCCCATAGAACGTCTGGAAGAAAAGCCAAACAAATGACTTGACAAATGTTCTAATTGTGTTTAAGAGTTACAGGGTACTGTTTAAAAATAGATTTGGGGTTTTGATTGTTTGCTGGTTTTGTTCCAGTATGCTCCTTTTAAACCCAACTTGTAAGTTTGATCCTGAGACAGCAAAGGACTTATTTCTAGTTCCCCTCAAAAAACAAAACTATTACCTAAAGACACATGGCAAAGGGGAGAGTGTTTGGCACAGCAAAGTCCCCACTTGGGACACTCACATCCCATGTTAAGTGTCTGGGTTAGAGTTCTAGCTCTGCTTTCAATCTCAGCTTCCTGCTAATATGTACCCCAGGAGGCAGCAGATAATGGTTCACGTAGTTAGTTCCTTGTCACCATGTGGAAGACCTATATTGAGCTCTGGGTTCCTGGCTTCAACCTGACTCAGCCCTAGCTCTAATGGTTGCACGCATTTGGTGAGTGAACCAGCAATAGAAGATCTCTCTCTCTCCCTCTCTCCCTCTCCTCCTCTTCCCCCTTTCCTTTCTCCTTCTGTTTCTTTGCCTTTTCAATAAAATGAAAACATTTTTAAAAGATTTACAGCAGTAAATTAAAGCACAGTGAAACCTTGATTCATAGTCCACACCATTTTCCACAACCTGATGAAGTCACCATATTCCAAGTCTGCCATTCTCTCAAATCACATTGAACAGTCCCGAAGGGTTTATTCCTCAGAAGGATTTGGTAAATATATCCATTATTTGCTGTGAGAATAGCACTAAAAAGCAGACTGATGTCAACGTAAGATGATTAATTCGTACTTTTGTCAGCCTTCTGTAAAGATGCATATTACTCCTAACAAAATCCCCCAGGCAGGAATTATAGCATGACGACTGTTCAACCTACTTAGCAACCCTTCATCTGATACCCAGGTTAGCAGTGGGAAGCGACCACATTTGGAAGACAAAGCAGAAAACCATCTTTCCTGAGCATTCAATCTGGTATGGGTCCAGTGACCATGGGCCAGATTCTACAAAATAGGTTTCTTTTCACAGTTTGCATTTAGCTCTCATAAAAATCTTTTTATTTTTCATTGCATGTATTGCAGACTTAAGATGGGAAATATCATCATTATACTTATGAGTCACTGCCAGTTTTCAACATTGGCTCACCCTAAATCCCTGGGCCAGTTAATCCTCTTATAGCGAGGGTCAAATTCAGGGTGGACCCCGGATGTCATTGCTATTGCCTTCTGGCCCCTTATTTAATATACTGCACTGACTTAGTCTGGAGCAAACTTTTATAAAAGGTGCCATTTCCTACTCAGTGCAGAGAAACCCCAGACTGGATTGTCCCTGGAGCCGGTTAAAGGTGCTGGATCCCCCTTGGGGGCAATCTGAAGATTTTCCCTGATATCCCCATCAAGGTGGCCTCAAATTCATCCTGAAAATGAACTCAACCTCCCGAGAGCCAGGAGGACGGAAGACAGAAAGCCATGTTGACCTGTCCCAGGGTAGAACATCAAACTCTGGCCCAGGCTGAGAGCTGAAGTAAAGTTCTAGGAAGCCTGCCTTCATTTCGTTTTCCCTCTCCAAGTAGACAAATGTGTTTCCCCTAAGGAAGGGGAACCATTCCAACAGTGAGGCAACCTCAAAAGTTGATGACAGAAACTCAGGGATAAATAATAGCATTAGTCTTTTTGATTAGTACAAAATATTTTACAGACACCATGGATTCTTCCACTGTGTGAAGACAAGCCCCTGGTGTTGCAATCAGGGTTAAGCTAGTATTTGTCCAGGGTGGCCACTTCTTTGGATGAGGAGACTTCTGTAGTCTTTTATAAAAAGATTTATTTATTTACTTGAAAGGCAGAATTACAGAGAGAGAGAAAGAGAGGTCTTCCATGCACTGGTTCACATCTCAGATGGCCGCCAATAGCCAGAGCTGGGCCAATCCGAAGCCAGGAGCTTCTTCCCAGTCTCCCACGCAGGTGCAGGGGCCCAAGCACTTGGGCCATCTTCCACTGCTTTCTCAGGCCATTGCAGAGAGCTGGATCAGAAGTGAAGCAGCAGGACGCGAACCAGCACCCATTTGGAATGTCGGCACCACAGGCAGTGGCTTTACCCGTTAGGCCACAGTGCTGGCCCCACTTCTGTAGTCTTGAGACCAATATAATAAAGCCATTATAATACATTATGACCCTCTGAATTTTACAGAGAAGAATCCCAGCATAAAGCTGAGCAGCTCACCTCCAACAATGAACAAATTGCACAAACAGATGCTAATTCAACTCCTGCCCTTTTATCCAGTAGAGCATTACGGTGTCTGAATCTCTTAAGAATTTCTATCTTAATACCACTGTAAGTAGAACCAGGAGGAAAGACAAGAGTGGGCAATGTGTCAGAGGGAGAAGAAGGAATCTAGCTTCCGGTGTAACTGTCTGCGGGGACCTCAGAGAAAACCTTGGGTTCTGCAGGCACCCATCACCCCGAGCACTAGAAAATGTTGAGTAACTCACACAGCACTGCTCCACGTGTGCGAAGTCAACCTCCACAGCTTTCTTTTCAACTCTGGTTGTTGACAGTGGTCTGGCGAGAAGCCGCCTGTATGATCACATACAGATTCAGCTCCTTGTCTCAAAGAACTGGTGTGAAGCCTGAACCAATAAAGTCCTCAGGAGCAGGGTAGAAAGACAAGGACACATTTACCTAAAATTGCACCCTAATGTGAAAATCTGCCTAGGACTGTGCTAAGTCTCATGGCAGCACAAGCCCCTGAACTGGAACAGATCATGGCAATCCTTTCAGAATAAAGATCAGTCCCTCCTTATCTCAGTTGATTCTTAGAGATCTAGAGATGGGCTATGCAAAAAATTTACTTCCCACCAAGGCTACTCAGTTTTGTCCAGAGAAAAATTCTTTCCTCTACCACAGACCACACTGGCAACCTAACCGGCTAACTCTCAGGCCTTTGTCGTATGCTGGGAGGTGAGGGAGGGGCGGACATATGGTGCCTATGAGGAGCCCCTCCACCCCAGGCCTGCCTGGCCCATCAGTCCTACAGCAGTGACAGAGTAGGTGTTCCATGTAGTGATAATGGTAAGGGGGGGCCAGCACCATGGCACAGTAGGTTAATCCTCCGCCTGCGGCGCTGGCATCCCATATGGGTGCCAGTTCTAGTCCCGGCTGCTCCACTTCCAGTGTGGCCCAGGAAGGCAGTGGAGGATGACCCAAGTGCTTGGGCCCTGCACCCACATGGGAGACCAGGAGGAAGCACCTGGCTCCTGGCTTCGGATCGCAGTAGTTCTAGCTGTAGCAGCCATTTGGGGAGTGAACCAGACAGAAGACCTTTCTCTCTTTTTCTCCCTCTCACTGTCTATAACTCTACCTCACAAATAAATAAAAGATTTTAAAAAAATAATGGTAAAAGTCAAGAGAGACAATGGCACACAGAGGACACTACACCCTGACTTCTCAGGCCAGAGCCATCGAGAAAGATTTCTGCAAATAGGATCAGCAGATGCCCCAGCATCCACACCTGCAGTGCTTGTTCAAAGTGCGCATCTGTAGGCCCCACACCAGGTGACTCAGACCTGCCAAACTAAGAAAAACGCAGGCTTAAAAGCCACATTGTTGAGAGAAAACTCTCTGGCTTCCATTTGTCCACTTTTGAACCTCCACTGCCCATCGTGGCAAAGCTGTCAAAGCCTCTATTCCCTCTCAGGGTCCCAGTCTGTTTCAAGTGTCCTCTCTGCTCTCAAAGGCTCCTCCCTCACACCTCATTGTCCCCGGCAAGGAGCCAATTTAGATTTGGTAAAGACCCTGATTGCCCTCCTTTGCCTGTGAAATTGTAGAACCACAGCCACACACCGCACACCTGCTGTGTCTATGGACTGCGGCCTTTTGGCAAGCCACCACCACTGTACCACCCCAGACTATCTCTGCTGCTCCAGAAGCAGACTCAGCCCCCACCGAGTGTGTGCTTTAAACACAGGGTCACAACACAGGCAGGCAGGCTGCAGGCCCCAGAGGGACTGGAGATGAGGAAGAGGAGGATTCCAAGGGGCAGCAGAAGCAGTTCCAGCTGACAGAGAGTTACCAAGGACAAATGTAGAATCCCACGCAGCCAAATCATCCAGCATTTCAAAAGAACGTGGGAAATCTAGATTTTTCTTCAGAAATCAATGTTTAACTGTTGACAAGTCATTTGAAAAACTTTGAAAGCACCAGAAAAGCTGAATTTTCTTTGTTAGCTATTCGGTTGCAACTTCTGCTCTAGGGATGTTTTAATGGAGAAATGAGAGAAGGGGCTCAAGGCTGCTATGTGCATGGATACAACCTCCCACAATTCTTAGCAAAGTCTGCAAGCCGCCCCAGGCTGCGTTGCTAGTGGGATTTAGATCCAAAGGGCAGACTCCACCAGGGATGACCCAAACAAGTATTTTATTAACCAAGTATTACCCGCCTTCCAGGGGGAAATCGGGGCGGGGGGGGGGATTCAGGATGCTAATTGATCCGAACAACCAAACCGATTCTCCAGGCACCCCCGCCCATGCACATAGATCCTCAGTGTGGAACACTGAGATATTCCCCCTCCTATCTTGAGCTTTTACCCTGTGAAGGCCCCCCACAGTACTTGCACTCTTCCCCACGACTGCACCTGTCTGCATGCAGTCCCTACTGAAAACAGCCCCTGCATTCTCTGAAAGCCACACACTGGCTAAGACCCAAGTGATTCTCCCTGCTGTCCCTGATCCCTTCTCTGCATACCTAGGGTGGGTACCACACAACTAGTTCTTTTTTTTAAGATTTATTTATTTGAAAGTCAGAGTTGCATAAAGAGAGAAGAGAGGCAGAGAGAGAGATCTTCCACCTGCTGGTTCACTCCCCAGTTGGCTGCAATGGCCGGAGCTGTGCCCATCCGAAGCCAGAAGCTTCCTCTGGGTCTCCCACGCAGGTACAGGGGCCCAAGGACTTGGGCCATCTTCTACTGCTTTCCCAGGCCATAGCAGAGAGCTGGATTAAAAGTGGAGCAGCTGGGTCTCGAACAAGTGCCCATATGGGATGCCAGCACTGCAGACGGTGGCCTAACCCATTACACCACAGTGCCAGCCCCACAACTAGTTCTTGATTACACTCTGATATTCTCCCTCATTTTTCAAGATTTATTTATTTATTCAAAAGGCAAAATTGCAGATAGAGAAGGACAGAGAGATTTTCCATCCAATAGTTCACTCCCCAAATGACCACAATGGCCAGTGCTGGGTCAGGCTGAAGCTAGGAGTTTCATCTGGGTCTCCCATGGGGGTGCAAGGGCTCAACGACTTGGGCCATCCTACCCTGTTTCCCCAGGCACATTCACAGGGAGCTAGATTAAAAGTGGAACAGCAGCCAGGACTCAGAGCAGCACACATACAAGGATGCCACAATGTCAGTTGCTCTAATTGATTCTTATGTGCTAGTGTCCCCTCTGGACTATTATTAATGCCATAGAAACTGGAACTGTCTCTGTCTCTCTCTTCCCTTCTCCTTCTACTCAGGATTCTCAGGAGTCACTTTGGGGGGGGAAAAAACCTCACAGGCTGTCAATTGCAGGTTATGTCACTTTCTAGTCTCCCCACAACAAAATCACGAGTGGTGACATGCAAAAATGCTACAGGACATTTTCTTAAATGCGAAGGTAAAGGTACAACGTACACCTGTACTGCTGATTTGTTTCCTCAGGCTGGAAAGAATCCTTGTGCAGTAATGGGAATCTATGCAGGAAGCTCTCAAGCTCTCCCCCACTCCCAGATATTAATATTGTTCAAAGTCCCTGAAAAATTGGCACTTCGGGGAGGCGAATGTTTGCTTCTTTTCATAACAATCAGAGTTTCGACAGCCCAGAACCCAGAAGAGTAATACAGTCCTTGGACAAGTCCACGAACTCCCTGAAATGGATGGGCTGTTGTGCAGAAAGAGGGAAGAGAAAAACTTTCCGGCTCAGTGGGAGGAATGAGGGGAAGAACAATAGAGGCTGCTGGCAGGGGAATGGCTTCGCGACAGGCAGGATCGAGCCGCACTTTGAAATCTTCCGCCATCCCCAACCCATGCTGTCTCCAGCTTGGTGTGCGTTTTCATTTATCCAGGGATCAGTAGCCGGGGGGGGGGGGGGGGGGGGAAGAGTTTCATTCTCCAGCTGTTGTGTCATTTCCCTCGCTAAGTCCTAAATTGACCGCACTACCCAGCACCAAAGGAGCCTTCCTGGGTAGGCACTGCTTATTATGTGCCCTTTCAGGGACAAAGGCGTCCGTGTCAGTGAGCTGCTATGGGGAGAAAAACAACAATACTATTCTCGCAGCATCATAAGAACACTCTTCTGAGACGCTAACCTGCACATGAGAAATTAGACAACACTACCGTCTCTTAGCCCGAATGCCTTGGGATCAGGTGAAGGAAAACCCAAACTGCTACTCGCTTCAAGGGCAATTTTACCAGTAAAGATTCCAATTAAGACACTCCAAGCACAAGTTTTCCAATTTTCATATCTGATCCTATTCATAGGCAAGCTGGAGCTGCAGGCGTCACAGATAGCCTGCCAGTGCTGGCTGGTATTTGTTAAGCCCTCAGGAGCACGCCCTTGCACTGGGGAGTGGCAGGAGGGAACGGGCTGTGGTCTTACCTGGGACAGAAGCACCTGGAAGCATGACTTGTGTGGGTGTAATGAATGGGGTCGGGGGTGGGGGTGGGGGCGGGGGTGCCTCACCTGGGAGACAAAGAGAAGACTCTGCGACATTGGCTTTCCTCACTGCTCTGTTCGAGAGAGCCACTCTCTTATAAATCGTAATAAGCAGATATCACTCGGTTGTGTGTTGACATATTGATCCTATTTTTAAAAACATCTCCACAGATCCTCAAACGGCAGCGGGTGAGGTGGATGGGGTTAATCTGGAGGAGATCCGAGAATTTGCCAAAGCTTTTAAAATCCGGCGCCTGTCCCTTGGCCTGACCCAGACTCAGGTGGGACAGGCTCTCAGTGCTACCGAGGGCCCTGCGTACAGCCAGTCGGCCATCTGCAGGTAACCGCGCCGCATGCCGTCACCTCCGCTGGCCGGCCGGGACCTCGCTGGTCCTCGCGGTTCAGCTGTTTTCCTTCCGGGCGGGCAAAGCTGGAGGAGCAGAGTGTGGGAACAAGTTTGGGGGTAGCCATGTTGGGGTGGGTGATATTGCTGAAGCAGATTTGGCGGGGGGCGGGGTCTGGCTTGCTAACTCCTGTCAACTCACTATGAACTCCCAAGGCGGTCTCACTGGAAACACTACCCCGGCCAGCAGCCTCTCTTCTGGGCCACCAACTCTGCCTGCACACAGGAGTCGACTCTGAGCAAATGTCATGCTGCCAGGCCTGATTTGTGTTAATACTCCCACTATGGCTGCTCAGAGACAGCTATCAGAATTTTCCAAGAAAATACTCGTTGAAAAAAATATACTTAACCATCTTGCGATTTTAAAGAATTTTTAACCTGTCTTCCTAGATACAGATTTAAAAAGCACATTTAAAAAAAAAATTTTTAAACAGCAGCAGTTGCTTTGAATGGATCAGAAAGGGGTAGTGACAATCTGGTCTAACTGTGCCCAGCCTTGCAAAATTAAATAAATAAATAACAGAATCCAGCCTTGGCTGTGTTCAAGTTGATCCGGGTTAAGTCGTCAGAAGCAGACCCCGTGCATGCATGTGTGTGTTGCACTAATCCCATGTTTATGCATGAGGTAACAGAGGCACTTCGGTAAGAGCTTTTTCCTCTTGGGCACTGCCTTATGAGTCCTCCTCCATCAGGAAAAGCCAAGAAACCAACTCTAAACTCATTTAAGTGGATTTTGTTCTTGGTGATCCATGAAATGCTGTCTTTTTATCTGCTCTTTATACTTTTAATGTATTCCCCAAAGGACGGAAGTGTACTTTTCCTGCAGTTTAAGACTAAGGTTATAAATAACATCAGTATGGGGTAGTAGCTTGCAGCTCACATTTTGCTCAATGATTTTCCATAAAACCCATTGATTGTTGTTAAATACAAAAAGCACCATAGGATCCTCTCACTTGTATGGTCTCCCCTACTGTTTTTTCTTATAAGATACCTCCCTGTAGAAAATAACCTTTATTCAGTCTATACAAGGATACTACTGCTGAGAAATTTGTTTCAAGGCTTGTATATGTTATTCCAAACAACACGTACAGAAGCATCAACACTAACAAGCAGCATCAATGATATGAATACTTCCTTCCCTGTTGGGAAACATTAATTTCGTTTCATCTTGACAGGCTTGTGATAAAGGCAGCCACAGGTTTTTAAGTTGTTGCCAATTTGCTATTGTTGCTAAATTCCTCTTTTGGCTTATGTTTAGTGTTAAAATGTGATTTCCTTTTATTGATTGAAGTGCTACCTAATGTTTTAACTCATACACCTAGTGTTCCTTGGGCATTCCCAATCAAGTATGTTGATTTCTAAAGTCTTGCCCAGGGAAGTGCCAAAAAGGCTGTTGTCTAAAACGAAGAGAGACCTTGGGAATTCCTGGTATCATAGAACAAATCAGATGCCTTGACTTTGAGTCCTTTCTCCAGCTCCCAGAGTTTCAGGAGCTACTTATCAAGGAGGGTAGGGGGGTAGAAATCTTGAAAGAGACCAAGGTCTTACATTGGAAGAATTTCAGCAAATTCAAAGGGTAGGAAGGGATCTGCATTGGAGCAAGTGGCAGCTCTTTTCCCTAATTAGCCGCAACAATGCATAGATGCTACTTTGGATGCCACCAATACAGTGGACATCGCCACCACAAGCTCTGCCGTTATGTGCCATGGCTCTCAAGAGAAGATTATCATGCTATCAAGAATTTAAACTTTGAGACTTTATATTATGATAAATGACAGTAAAATGCTGGACGTGGAGAACTGGAATAACAATAAGAGCTTTTGGGGGAGCTTGTCACAAGTAAGAAGCTCATAAAATAACATTAATTATCAGCTCATTTATAGTGAAAGCAAGTGGAGTGTTTGCCTCCTTGACCAATACTAGAAATTGGGTTTAATAAACTCCTTGAACTCTGCATGGAATGGAATGCTATGGAAATCACATTAAAATTTGATAATGTTTGTGCTGCTTATCACAACGTTCAAGATCTAAAATGTGCTGCCAAAAATAAGATTAAGGCACATAAAGGAAGCCTATCCTTCCCATCCTTTTGTAAGCATCCTTGTAAAATGTATTCTGACCAACACAAGTTCATTGTAACACTATGAGCACAGGCTGTTGTCATCAGATGCAATCTGTTTTTCAACAGCATGGAACACTGTAAAAGGAGAGAGGAATTCTGTGTATCCAAAGTTATACTGGAGAGGGCTGTGCATTTGGATTTAAAGCAAACAAACGCATAAAAGAAACTGGTGCTTTTTTATATTTCATTGAGAGTGGGTGTGAATTGAGTACCAGGATGACCTCTTAAAACACTGTATATAATTTTGTCCAAGATGCTTCATATTTTCTAAAGTCAATGTAGCAAAGAATTGCTGATGGCAATTGATATATAGAAGACCTCATTTACAGAAAATGGTATCATTCAAGTACAGTTTGCAGATATCGCACATTAAACACAGCTTGATGCCCTGGTGCAAAAGTACACCATTACGCTGGCCAGCATTTGGAAGGCATGGGGTGGCCTTAGCACATGGGGTGGGGGTTTCCATAGTAATTACAATGAGTCCAGCTGTTTGAGCGAAACAGTGAAGCAGCAATGGGCTGTGTTTTACCTGGAAAGGGGGCATGTTGTTAACTTACATAGGGTGAAAATTGCTTGTTACCAGACAGAGAGAGAGAAGTTAAAATGAGATACAAAAGAGAGATGAAAGAAAGAAAAGAGCTGTAAAAGAAAACTTGTCCCAGCTGCTGTCCCTGACTATGATAATAACTGCAACATTTTCATACCCAAGTCAATGGGAAGAATTTAAAGCAAACTAAATGTAAAACATACAAAGTATCACTTTTAAATCAAAGAACATGACAACTGTTGTCTTTGATGTCACTTGCCTTAAGGATTCTGAGGGTTGGAGCAATAGAATTGGTACAATTAAAGTAAAAGCTTAGATCTCAGGGTGCACAGGGAAAAGGCATGAGAGTTGCTTGGGTTTCCAATTGTGCTGTCATTCTGGTCCCTTGTGTGCGTGTGTGTGTGTGTGTGTGTGTGTGTGTGGTTTGCATGCACTGCATGCAGCATGCTGGGAAGGTGGGCGCTGGCGTGGGTGGGGCTGGCTACCTTGCAGCTGGCTGCTAATCTGGAGTGGATCTGGCCTGCTGGGCAGGCAGGCAGGCAGACAGGCAGGCAGGAGCCCCACCCTGGCCGAGAACTCAGTGTAAGACTGTTCTTTCTCAATTCTCCCCCCAGACACACCATCCTGAGAAGCCACTTTTTCCTACCACAGGAAGCCCAAGAGAACACTATAGCTAGCAGTCTGACAGCCAAACTGAACCCTGGCCTTTTGTATCCTGCCAGGTTTGAAAAGCTGGACATCACCCCTAAAAGTGCCCAGAAGATCAAGCCGGTGCTTGAGCGGTGGATGGCTGAGGCTGAGGCCCGCCATCGAGCAGGTATGCAGAACCTGACCGAGTTTATCGGGAGTGAACCGTCCAAAAAGCGCAAGCGGCGCACCTCCTTCACACCCCAGGCCCTTGAGATCCTCAATGCCCACTTTGAGAAGAACACACACCCCTCGGGGCAGGAAATGACCGAGATTGCGGAGAAGCTGAGCTATGACCGGGAAGTAGTTAGAGTCTGGTTCTGCAATAAGAGGCAAGCCCTGAAGAACACAATTAAACGCTTAAAACAGCACGAGCCGGCCACGGCGGTGCCCCTGGAGCCTTTGACAGACTCTCTGGAAGACAACTCCTAAAGAGACACATGCCCACCCGCGACCAGAAGCAAAATCCACCGCGACACGATTCCACCCTGGGACTCCACCAAGAACAGAAGTACAGTTACATTTAAGAACAGCCCCAGTCACGTCACCCTTGTAAGTAAGAGACTAAGAAAACTACCAAGTGGACAGAATGGTTTGTACATGTCCGTTGGTTTTCCAAAAAGGAAAAAAAAATGTTTTTTTGAAAATTTTTAAACAAGGTGCACACCACACTCGAGGTGTGTGTACTTAGGATAGTTCCCACCACCTGTCTCCCCAAAGCCAGTTTTTTAAAGCAAACCAAATAACCACATACTTTTTTCTGTAAACTATGAAAATGTGAACACGTTTTAAGGAAAAAGAAAAAACAGAACTAAACCAAAAAAAAAAAAAACAACAACAAACAGAAACTTGTATCTGTTTCAAAGCGAATACAAGCCTGCCACCTGGAGGAAGAGCTGCATCCTTTCAGGTACTAAGTGCTCATCACTGAACTGTTTTAACCAAAGTCGGAAACGCGGCATTGCCAACGCGATCGCTCGCCTCCTCTTCTCGGCGTGTAAAGTTGTGTTACCGGTTTTTACATTTGTACTAACGGGAAAATAGGAAGCCTGATTCCTCCCATCTTCCCCATCTGTCGTCTCCCCCTCCGGGGCGGGTGCCATTGTCGAAGCCATTCTCTGAGGCTCACTACTGGGTTTGGCGGGGGGCAGGAGGCTTTGTTTCTCTTTCTCTTTCGTTTGGGAGGCAGGGGGCATCCTGGATCGTGTGCCAAAGCATCCGCTGCATTCTTCTCCCCCATGACTCGCGCGGGTGTGAGAAAAGAAAATGGAGCTTTGGAGTCTCCTCTTCCCCCCCGTGTCTCCAGGGGCCTGCTGCAAGGCCAGTCTTTTCCACTCAGATTCTAGTGAAATGCAGGAGAGACTCCAAAACAGCCAGGGCTTTGCTCGATGAACTGTCAACACTGGCATAAGCTGTAATTGTGCTCACTGTCCACACCACAGCTTGGGATTTTGCTCAGTCTGTTGGCCACGTACATGGAGAGCTGACCAAAACTAATTTTGTAATATAAACATAAGCTGCACATTTGGTTCAATACTTACATCTATGTTCTGCTTCTGTGCAAAGCAATTTCTCTCAGAAGTCTGATAGCCAAAGAAATGTCTCAAGGTTTCAGTCAAAGTACACACATGGCGCACACACACCCATATGCACACACACAAAGAAAGAGGCCAGGAAGGAAGAGTGACTGGATCATTCAAGGTCATCATGTATACCCTGTTAGTCTCATCTTTCATCCCCATAGCGATGGCAGAACTTTTTCCGGGGGGGTGGGGAGGGAGCCAATTGTCCTCAGGATGTGTGAACAGAGCATAAAGGTGGCAGGCAAATCCTAACCACTGCAAGTAGGGGCAGGGTTCTTGAGGGGAAAGGAAGCGGTAACAGTCCAGTGTCTTTACTGAGAAAACAGACGTTGCTTATCTAGCACATCAGAATCACCTTCACAACTAGAAGTAGAGGATTATTTCATCGTTAAACATAAGCAGCCTCGAAAGATCCACGGGCCACAATAACCCAAGAAACCAGCAGAAGGTGCCGAGATGGGAGGATGGCAGTGCACGGAGCACCTGCAGCTGATGTCATCACCCAGGTGTAGGCGGAAGGTGTTCTGTCAAACCAGCAGGCAAAAGAGAACCCAGAGTTTGCTTGTTGGTGCAGTGTAAATATTTATGAATAATTAATAATCATGCTGATATACTATCTTGAAGTAAATTATGAAAGGAAAAAGAGAAATTCCACCTCAGATTGCCCAATGGGTAAGAAACGCCACCTCCTTCCCCTACCACAATCCCTTCTCCCCTGGGGATTTGATTTTCTTCTTCTGTCATCTCCTTTGCTGGTTGTGTGACCGTGACAGTATAATTGTACCCTCAGATGAGTCATGCTGCAATCAGGAGACCACCAGCGAGGAAACTCTAGAAGAAATCCTGGAATCAGAACTCGTTGCTCACAAAGATTTCTCATTTCGCCATTCTGACGCTAATTGGACCACACTACCCTGATCCTCAGTGCCGGCAACATCATGGTATCCGTTTCACCACCTCCAAATCTGCACAAATGCCAACAACCCAGATACCCAAAACTTTATTGATTAAAACAGATTTTGTATTCTCCTAGGACCTGTTCCAAATTCCATCAAGACAAGCTCCCCAAGAAGAGAAGTTAACAAGATAACGGATGACGGATGCTAAATGTTTAAATATATGCTGACAGCAGTTACATAAGGCCTGCTTAGTTCTGAGATCTATAATTGGAAGGGTGTAACTAGGACAGTGAAAATATAAAAGTAATCGTCCAGAGTGGAACAAAAAAGAAATATATTCATCCCACAGTCATAAAACCATTCATGTGTGGTGATTTTTTTTACAGTTTTATAATTTTGTATTGTTTTATAAATTATTTATAAAGTATTGTAATGCTTCTTATATTAATTTTTTACAGATAAATTTTTTGCTACAAGGCATAAAAAGATGCCTGAACAGATTCTTAGGAATATAAATTATACTGTGTAACTCATTAAGTCTTTGGGAACGCACCTATTGCTTAATTTTATTATGACATTTCTTGTTTCTACTTGTAAACAACTTCATACACCAAGAGCATTTAAGTGTCTTTTATGTTTCCATGAACTGAAGGTTAAGGTTATGGTTTCCACCAACAACAACAACAACAACAAAAATAAAAGCCACTTTGGGCATATGTGATTGTATTTCAAGCTTCAATATCTTTTTCATAGATTGTTAAGTTAGTGTCATCTTCATTTTCTTCATTCCTCAATGGAAAAAAATGACAGTGGATGTTATATTTTACATTTGTTTGTGGGTTTCCTTTTTAACCAAAAAATTTTTGAATAGTTGGAAGTTTTAAGTTTTGGTTTCTTTATTTTATAACCGCAGATACACACACACACACACACACACACACACACACACACCATGAAAGAGAGAACAAAAAAGCAAAAGGAGTTAGGAAAATAATAAAACAAGTAGAGGCGTATCAAAGAACTCAAGCTATAACCAAAAAGAAATCGTAAAATGCCTTTGCTCATCTTCTCTACGCTGGACCAAAGCTCAATATTTGTAGGTATATGCACATTGTATAGATATGGCTAAATGTTGCTGACAATCTCGCAATACTAAACTGTTCCTATTTTAAGATAAAAAAAAAAAGACATACAAACTGTTCATCAATGTTTTACCTCAGCACTCTACTTGTACCCAGTTAATGACCAAGCTTAAAAAAATGGAGAAAAAGGAAATTAATTTTCATTTCCATGTTTGACTGTAAAATCTGTTTGGATAACATTTTGTAATGAGCTTTTTGTCATGTGATTTGCTTGTCTTCAACTTGCAATTATGTGAGGCACACTTGCTTATTTGTTGTTAAGAAAGTGATTTATTTTTCGTCCTCTGTGCTGTGATCTAGACTGGTCACCAGGGTCACTTATGAGGCACCACACAGAGATCTGCTTCTCCACGCCTGGAGCAGCAGCAGGAGGGAGGGCAGGAAAAATCAGACCGGGTTGTTTTGGGAAAATCAGGATGACAAGAAGTTGACGTGATATACTTGTGACCAAGAAGCCAAACTGGATATTTAAAAGCTCCTTACTTGCTCTGACATTGAAACCAAAGCTGATTTATCTGCACAGGTTGCTTAATGTTTAAAAAAAAAAAAAAACTGTACTTAATCTAGAGCAATATCTGTATGGTTGGTAAAGCTGCACTTTGTGTATTTCTTAACAGCTTCAGATCTGTCACTTTTAATTTGTACCATAAGAAAATAAAGAATTGTTTGACATGAGCTTCTAGGCTAAGCGTGTCTTGCACTCAAATACATCATCTAAATTGTAAGCATATAAATATATTTGCAATCTCAAGTGTTAAGGAAAGGAAGGGGCTTGAAACACACTGGTCAGTATGATTATTTTAACTTTTCAAATGAAATACTATTCATTGGGACTCCTTTGATTCCAAGTTCTAGAAATCCAACTCCAACTTGCCTAAACAAAAAGACACTACATTGTTTGACTTTCCTGGGAAGTCCCACTGTGGCCCTCAAGCACAGCTGGACATAGAGTAGCCTCATGGAAGTCATCAGCCTGTCCTGCATGGCTTCCTTCACAGATGGACTCTGTACCCGTGGACATCAGGGCTTTGAGCCTGGTGCTTGTCTCTAAGCACTGGTGCAGGGGGGATGGTGCTCTTACATCATCCATTTCCAGTCATAGGCTCATCCCTGTGGAGCCATGGGGCCTCCTGGTGGCAAACTCATGGGACCACAAGCAATAAAAGAGAAGTCTCCATGAAAACCAGAAGACGGAAGATGGGACACGATAGTGGGCAGACAAAAGCCAGAGTCGCCACTGTCCACTGCTCACGCCCAGGTGTGCAGGTGCACCAAGAGTTCTGCTGGGAGGGAGTGCTCTGTTGCTCTTCAGGAATGTCTGGTGTGATGCAGAAAGTGTACACATTTAGAACGTGCGGGAGCTGAGAGTGAGTGAGGACGGAGTTCATGTTACAGTTTACTAATTCAAAAGGAAAATAGAAGCATCTTGCTAAAAAAAATTACAGCAGAAAACATACTATTTAGAATCACAATTTCAATATTTTCAGTGACCTTTAACAAATATTTCTTATGCTAGATGGAGATCCATATATTAACTTCTTGTTGTGACTGATAAAAAGTGCTTTGAGGAAAGCAGGAGAACCAAAAATCTGAGCACCCATGAATTATAAATGGGCAAAGAAAGGCCAGGAAACTCCAAGATTGAGTTTAAGAGGAATAAAAATATATATATTGATGCCTTCTGACCTCATGGATGGGAAAAGGACAAGAAAAAGTAATTGTAAAGTTTTTTTCCATATAGACATACTCTGAAAGTATTCTGGGGAAAATTTCTGCCTATGATTACACCTGTTTAAAACGACAACAATCAGAGTGGGCCTCTGGTGCAACAGTTAATGATGCCATACATCTCACACCAGAGTGCCTTGGTTTGAGCGCCAGCTTCACTCTCGATTCCAGCTTCCTGCTAATGCACACCCTGGGCAGAAGATGATCGCTCAAGTACTTAGATCCCTGCCACCCAAGTGAGAGACCTAAACTGAGTTCTAGCCAGTGCAGGTCTTTGGAAAGTGAATCAACAGGTAGATATTCTCATTCTCATTCTCTCTCTCTCTTTTCTCTCTCTCTCTCTCACACACACACACACACACAATTAAAATCAACAAATTTTTAAAAGTTTAATAAACACAACTATAACACAATCATTCTGTATTCCACAAATATCTTCTAAGCACTTAATATGTTCAGAAAATTCTGTGTGTTAGACTCAGAAAAAAAACAAAATCTTTGCCTTCAAGTAGCTCACATTCATTGTACCAAGACCAGCAATATTTCTCTAAAAATTAAAATCATCCCCTATTTCTTATATAGCAAAATTTCACACATAAAACAAATTTCAAAATTAAACTGATAAAAACAGGTCTGAGGCAAACTTCAAAACAGAAGCAAATGGGTAAGAATAACCTAGGCTTAGACACTAGTATTTGTCTTAACTGAATCCAAAACTGTTCCAATAATTTTCTACTAAACCAACCATATACATACAATATAGATAGTGGCAGGTGTAGCAGGACAATGGTCAATGAGTGTAATCAAAAATCTATGGTTGGAAAGTACTCAGAAGCAAGGCTTGCGCCGCGACTCAGTAGGCTAATCCTCCACCTTGCGGCGCCGGCACACCGGGTTCTAGTCCCGGTCGGGGCGCCGGATTCTGTCCCGGTTGCCCCTCTTCCAGGCCAGCTCTCTGCTATGGCCCGGGAAGGCAGTGGAGGATGGCCCAAGTGCTTGGGCCCTGCACCCCATGGGAGACCAGGAGAAGTACCTGGCTCCTGCCATCAGATCAGCGCGGTGCGCCGGCCGCAGCAGCCATTGGAGGGTGAACCAACGGCAAAGGAAGACCTTTCTCTCTGTCTCTCTCTCTGTCCACTCTGCCTGTCAAAAAAAAAAAAAAAAACCAGAAGCAGTCGGTCACAACAGATGGATAAAACTGACTCCTCACTCACAAAACTGAGTCTGGACTCCTCATCCATTGTTGTACTCTTTGAAAGATGTACAACCTGGCCGCACCCATTAGCTCACCTATTGGACGTGTAGGAAGCTGTGCAAGAAGGTTTTCAATGTATTGGATGAAGTCACTCTAAAACATGAAATATTCCTGTGTTTTGTTAAAACAGACCATAAACATAATATACTTTCTTCTTGATGGCCTTTCTCCTTCTGTTTGCTTTATCCTTGTTAATGACTCCACCCATCAGCCATCCAAAACAAGTCTAGTAGTCAACTGTATACACACAAGCACATACACACATCACAGAAAGTCCTGGCATTCTGCCTTGTGAATTCCTTTTGAATCCATCTCCTGATTTCCAAGCCCCTGCAGACCCACTGGCCTCTCACCTGAGTTACTAGGATATGCTCTTCCTTGTCTCCCCATCCATCATGTCTGCCACCAGAGGAGTCTCTGTAAAGGACCAGTATGAGCGTATTTCTCTCCTGTTTAAAACCTTTCCAATGTTTACCGTGACCTTCAGAATGAATGTTTATTCCAGCACAGCACACGGTGCTTGTCATGCCTTGGTCCATGTTCACTACTTCATCCTGATTTCTCATTAATTCCCACTTCCTACAATTGTGACATGGCCCTGCCAAACTCCCCAAAATTTCCCCAGTGACCAAAGCACTTTCAGTTCCATACCCTCTGCTTAGAGCATCCACCCACTGCACTACTGATCTAACTTAGTTTCACTGCTTCTTTAAGACTCAGTTCTATTCAATTCCATAAATATTTGCTGGACTCTTGTGTTCAGGTATTGTGCTTTCATCACAGCATTTATCAAGTGTGCAAACTTATTAGCCACCACTTACATGTTACAAAACTACTACATCTCTGAATGACCTATGGACTTGGCTTACAGATAAGTGTAATGTATTTGTAATATATTCTGTTAACTAGCTATCCTCTGTATGTGACAGACGAGCTTCCTCACCTAATATCCCATGTTTGTAGAGTTCTCAAAGCTCCGTCTGTGTATTACTTTGTTCACTCCTGACAGAATCCCATGGAAGTCTGTGCTTCCTATTTGATAGAGAAAAACTAAAAATTATAAAAGTTAATAGGCTTGACCAAGATCCCAGGCAGAGCTGGCACTTGACGACATTAACTACGGTTAATGAACCACTGGAGCACTGAGAAATGGTGTCTACTACCATGATGGCCTTAAATCGCCAAGGAAAAGTACAGTATCCAGGGGCAGACTTGCCATAGAAGTTAACATGCCAGTCAGGACACGCTAAATCCCCTTCAAAGTATCAGGGTTCAATCCCCAAGAGCTCTGGCTCTTGATTCCAGTTTCCTGCTAATTGCAGATCCTGGGAGACAGTATATCCTTGTTTTTCCTTGTGCAGTTAGATTCCTGCCACCCACATTGGAGACCTGGATTTAGTTCCTGGTTTCCAGCTCTAGCTTCCTGTCCAGCCCTGGTCATGACAAGCTTCTGGGGAGTGAATTAGCAGATAAGATCTCCTTCTGTGTCTATATATCTCTCTGCCACGTACATAAAGTGGGGGCTGTATTTATGGCACAGCTGGGCAAACCACTGCCTGCTTGTATCTCATGTGAGCTCTGGTTCGAGTCCTTGCTACTCCACTTCTGATCCAGCTCCTTGATAATGTGTCTGGGGAAGCAGCAGAACATGGTCCAGGGTTCTTGGGCCCCTCCCACCCACATAGGAGACCCTGATGGAATTCCAGGCTCCTGACTTAGGCCAGTTCCAGCCCCTGCTATTGGCAGCCATTTGTAGAATGAACCAACAGATGGAAGATTTCTCTCTTCCCTCTACCTCCGTAACTATGCCTTTGAAGCAAATAAATTTTTTCAAAGAAAAAGAAAACTATTATATAGTACAATATCCAGTCTACAAGTATAGCAGGAATTCAGGGAAGACTGACTTATAGTTGATAGTAAATTCTAATCATCTAATTACCAAGTCCACAATGATTTAGGTAAGCTTAGCCTAAATAATTAGTACTTAGCAGATAATAAAAGACACATAAAGAAATTAAAAATGCCTCTATATGTTGTCAATTCATTATCACTGAGACTTAAGGACTCCAGATAAAAATATGGAGAGTTCCCACCATTACAAAGGTAAATGAGGTAAAAACAAATTGAAAAGTACAAGTTGGTACATCCTAGAAGTTCCCTAATACATTATCAAGTGAAAAACATGTGATGTGTATGAGAGCAGGAAGCTGTCCTGAAACTCAGCTGAATGATCCCCTCTAGAACTTTCTTTGAAGCTCTATCACTCTGAAGAGTTATGTGTGCTCCTGACCATTAAGAACTTTCAACGTTACCAGACCACGGAGACAGTCCTTTGGAAACCATCACATTCTTCCCTTACCTTGTCTGTACCACTGAAGTCTGTGGTCTGTGTAAGAGGGACCATGTCAGCAGCTTTGTCACTGAGGTCACTGTGACATCATCCCTGAAAGAGGAGATGTTTCCAGGGTGTTTGGCTACTGGCATACACACAATGGTAGGAGAATCAACATAAGCAAACCTCCAACACTGGAGTATTTCCTAAAACTGAACTCAGGTCAAAAGCAGGAAGCCCAGACGCAATAACAACATTCATGGTGAACCATTCTACTGAAGCCTTCTGTCAATGTTCTTATTAAGATGCTAGATAGAAGGCCAGCGCTGCGGCTCACTAGGCTAATCCTCTGCCTAGTGGTGCCAGCACACCAGGTTCTAGTCCCGGTCAGGGTGCCGGATTCTGTCCCGGTTGCCCCTCTTCCAGGCCAGCTCTCTGCTGTGGCCAGGGAGAGCAGTGGAGGATGGCCAAGTGCTTGGGCCCTGCACCCCATGGGAGACCAGGAGAAGCACCTGGCTCCTGCCATCGGATCAGCGAGGTGCGCCGGCCGCAGCGCGCCAGCCGCGGCGGCCATTGGAGGGTGAACCAACGGCAAAGGAAGACCTTTCTCTCTGTCTCTGTCTCTCCCTCTCTCTCTCACTGTCCACTCTGCCTGTCAAAAAAGTAAAAAAAAAAAAAAAAAGATGCTAGACAGAAGATGAAAACACTGCGACTTCTTGGATACTTGTCATAGGTTTTACTGCCCTCATTTCCAGATTTTGCACTGTTATCTAAGATTCGAGACCTACTTGGACATACTTTTGATAGGAACTAATTTTCATAGAGGAAGATTCACTAAGACTTACATTTAAACCAAACTCTGCAGTTAATGTCACATTAAAGTGGATCACAGGGCATCAGGTAAGTCCACCCTGGATCCATGAACCTTGTCAACATTTGGGCCACATTTATGAACATAAATAAAGGAAAAGATATCAACTGTGAAACATATATCCTTGTTTTTCCATCCAGTTTTGGTTGTTGATATCATTTACTATTCAAGAAATCTGTTTGTTATAGGAAAATTAGAATATACAAAAAAAAAAAAAAACAAAGTATTTCCATCTTAAGCTTATTAGTGTTCAACTGCTTTTCTTTATATAGCTCTATTTTAACATTTATGAACTGTTTTAAATGATTGCCCTGGGCACCAAAGACAAAATATAAATTAATAAAAATGGAAGTCACATATCTTGAATCTCATCTCTGTGAAATGTCACAGCTATTAGAGTTGCCAAAATTCAATGACTATTAACCTAGAATCCTAACTAGCCCCACCAGCAGCTCATGTTCAAGGAGAACAGCCCTTGGCTGTCTGAGGAGACATGTGATGCCCAAGACTATTTCAACATAGGCCTTGTCAACTAATCAAGAGGGCGAAAAGCAGGTGTCAGAGATGGAGCTGTGCATTCCTGGGTATTGATAGGCCTGTAGTGCTTTGCTAAGGTGAGATCCTCCACCTTGCAGTCAAAGAAAAATTTTATCTCCAGGTAAGTCCAAACCATATTAATGCTTTTAAAGACCACGTCTTATAGACACTACACATGGAGAGCCAGTCTAAGGTACAATGGGATGGGGAAATGACTTAAGCCCATCCAAACCATTCTCTGCTAATTTGATAAATGCACATGCGCGGGCACACACACACACACACACACACACCAAACATTTGTGTTGCTTCTTCTCAAGGACACAAGCTTCACTCTTACTTTTTGACATATTCCCACGGTGCCACCAGTATGCAAAAATTTCTACTTCGGTTTTTTTTTTTTTAATTGCCTGGAATAAAAGGGAACAGTGTACACAGGCCCCTGGTTCTGCTTCTTGGAAGTCACAGTACAAGTGATCTTGTGAAAAATAATGCATGTGCTAGCATTTCCATGTATATACTCTTTATTTCTGCTACGAGAAATATAGACTCCTCCAGAGAAAGAGAGGAAACATAAATGTATCTGGAAGTTGCAAAGAGTGGAAGAACAGAAATTTTTTTCATTATTCCCCTTTGGAGGAAGCAGTCCTCTCTGAAGGGGTCTATTTATACTTACCGAAAAGAGCAAAACACAGGGAGACGCCAATGCCACCTCCCCTTCCCTTGATGGAGCAACCAGCCCACCCCTGCTTCTCCTTGCTCAAGTCTTTGTTTTCTGTTTCTCTCCATGAAACTCAACTTTGTTCTCATTGTACCCAAAACCAGAAACGTGAGAAACATTGCTGGTTTACCCAGACAAGTCACTTCAGTTTCTTGGACACACTCCCTCCACTTCCTCGGCCAGGGGACTCCGCTTACATTCTGTGCTAATATTCCTTCCCTATGCTCAGATCCAAACCCTGATGAGAATCCAAGGTCCAAATGAAAGGTCTCAGACTTGAATATACCAACAATGGTGAAACTGACTATTTGGAGCTGAGGTCAAGATGAGAATCTGTCACAGTGACCAGCACATGCTTTCTGTGACTCACCAGAGATAGTCAACAGGTTAGGATTTAGAGGCCATATTCTGCTGCTGTGCTCCCAAAGCAGCCAAGAGCAGTACAGTGGCTGTGTTCCAATGAAACTTCATCCACAAAAGCAGGCAGCCGTCCAGGTTAAGTCCAAACTCTAAAATTTACCTATCCCTGATGTAAGAAGCCAAACTGAGTTTGGAACTCCATAGTCTCCCTAAGCTCTCCATGGGCTGATGTGGACCACCTTCTGGCCATCTGAAGGAATCTTGTCAAAGCTCCTCCCACAACCCCTAGGACTCTCAACCATTTTCTGTGCACCCTTCCACCTGCTTTAAAAATATTTGTCCCTGGGCCGGCACCGCGGCTCACTAGGCTAATCCTCCGCCTGCAGCGCTGGCACCCCGGGTTCTAGTCCCACTTGGGGCGCCGGTTCTGTCCTGGTTGCTCCTCTTCCAGTCCAGCTCTCTGCTGTGGCCCAGGAAGGCAGTGGAAGATGGCCCAAGTGCTTGGGCCCTGCACCCGCATGGGAGACCAGGAGGAAGCACCTGGCTCCTGGCTTTAGACTGGTGCAGTGCGCCAGCCATAGTGGCCACTTGGGGGGTTAACCAACAGAAGGAAGACCTTTGCTTCTGTCTCTCACTGTCAAAATCTGCCTGCCAAAAAATAAATAAAAATTTTTAAAAATGTGTCCCCAAAGTTGTCTACCTGTGACTTTTAAGGGAACTTCCTCAGGCTACTGGAGTCACTTTTATCACAAGAACACAGATCTCCCAACTGCCACACACAGAGCAGGAAGATGATGCCACCCCACCCCCACACCAACCCAGACTCTGCCCTGGGCACTGCAGAGGCTATGCACAATTCAGATGTATCCAGATGGAGGGATCAGGCTGAAGCCACCCTCCCAGGCATCTGTCTGAAACTGCTCACTTGCTACCCTGTTTTTCCACTCGCTTACCAGTGTTTCCCAGAAGCCCTTCTTTAAGAAATCACACTTGAGGTGGGGTTAAATATCACTTCCCACCCCTAGAAGCACAGCCAGGCTAAGATGAGGCAAGCAAGGCCCCAAAGACACAAGAGAAGGGACTGGAGCACACTTACATTTAAACTGGTGCCCTAAAACCTCCCGCGCCTCACCCTTGTCCCTCTCCAGGTGCTGGTCCCAGGGTGCAGCTGGGGGCAGTCTCCGGTCAGCTGCCCGGCAGAAATTGGCAGCAGTAAAGTAACAGTGAGGACTGGGGTACCAGGGTAATGCTGCTCATCCAGCCAACAGGGTGTCAGAGCCTTGAGTGTGGTCACACTGCACGGAGGGATGAGAGGGGCTCAGCTTCCTTGCTCTTCCCAGCATAAGCCAGGCCTCGACCCCCCACAGCAGCTCTCCATGAAATTTCCATAGAGCTCCTACTCCCTCTCCTTCCAGTCTTTCCTCCAATCTTATCTTTTAGGTGGCCCACAGAGCCACCCTAATCAACACTGCTGCCTGAATCGCCACCTCCCAGCACTCCCTAACCTTTGACCAATTCAACATTTTCTTTCTTCCATAACATTTGTAATCAACTCATATATGAGGGTATCTGAAGTTTAGGGTGGGGTGGACATCAGGTACAGTGGTTAAGGTTCCACTTGGGACACCTGTGTCCCATATCAAAGTGCCTGAGGTCAAATCCTGGCTCTGCTTTCATTTCCAAACTTCCTGCTAATGAGTACCCTGGGAGATAGCACTTAATGGCTCAAGTATTTGGGTCTCTGCCGCCCATAGGGAGGATCTGGATTGAGTTCCTGTTTCCTGGTTTTACTCTGGTCCCTATGCCCAACTGTTGCTGGCATTTGGGGCATGAAGTAGAGGAAGGAAGATCTCTCTGATAAAATAAGTTTACAGAAAATGTAATTAAAAGATATGTTCACTTTGACATGATAACGTGAAATCTAGACATACTTTTTTCAAAATAATTTTCCATGAACCTTTGGAAGACCCCTCATACCGTGAGCTTCAATTATGTAATATATATTTGCTGTTTGTTATTTGTCACTGCCTACTAGAGTGTAACCTCCTCAAAGTCAGAAATCCTTGTTTGATTTACTTTTTGTAAGCCCTCAGAACAGTGTCTGGCATATAATAGCTGCTGCTGTAATAAATGCCTGTTGCCTGAATAACGAATGAAAGAGATTTGGGAGAATATTGGCTTAGGGCTAACAAAGTTAGCAAATAAAAACACAAGGTACCCACTTCCATTGGATTTTCAGATAAACAAGAACAACAGCAAAAACTATAATATAATATATCCTAAATATTACGTGGTGGGGCCAGCGCTGTGGCGCAGGTTAATCCCCTGCCTATGGCACCAGTATCCCATGTGGGCGTCAGTTCTAGTCCCAGCTGCTCCTCTTCCAATTCAACTCTTTGCTATGGCCTGGGAAAACAGTAGAAGATGGCCCAAGTGCTTGGGCCCCTGCACCCGTGTGGGAGACCAAAAGAGGCTCCTGGCTTCAGATTGGTGCAGCTCCAGCTGTTGCAGCCTTTTGGGGAGTGAACCAGTGAACCAAGATCTCCCTCTCGCTGTCTAACTCTACCTCTCAAATAAATAAATAAAATCTTTTAAAA